GGTTTGTTTTCATGGTTTTTTCTTGGAGCGTCGCATTGTTCTTTCCAGAGGAACACGGCCTTTCCCAAAATGTGTGGGTAACTGGCCTGAGACTGTTCTGTGGTAAGAATCACTGAGAAACCCCCCGGGCACTAAATAGCTTCCAAAAATGGATGGTTGAAAAAGTGGGGGTTTTCCTGCACTAAGAATCACTGAGAAACCCCCCGGGCACTAAATAGCTCCCAAAAATGGATAGTTTGTCTTACTAATAAGGAATGAAAAAGTGGGGGTTTTCCTGCAGTGGTAACTTTAAAATCATGATTTCTGTTACTTGCAGCAACATCACATATTTCCTTCTTTGAAACTGCCTTGGCAGGAGTTGCTTCCCATGCACTTGGTTTATGCAGTTTATGCTTTAATTTCTTGCCTGCGTGATTCAGGGGTGCAGGGCTCAGCCAAAGCTGGTGCTTTTTCTCCAAAAGTAGGAGATTATTAACTTCTGTTCTAAGAAGCTGTGTACAGTTTGTCAGCTACTGCAGCTTCTTCCTTTCTCCTTTTCCCTGCCTGCCCCGAGTAATTATTCCTCTAAATTGAAATACGTTTTTCTCAAATTGTATTCCTCCTCTTGGTTGTTTTCCATAGAGCCTAATAACAGCCTATCAAATGAACTCCACGTGTCCTTAGGACCTTGGAAAGCAAAAAATTTACCCCTGAAGTCTAGACAGTTATTGCAAGTGGCTTTACCACAGCTGATGGTATGATTTTATGCCTTTAAGCTTCTGATGCATATTCAGACTTTCAAAAGGCAAATGAATCTGTGCAGAAGAAGCCGCCGTGCACCTGTTTCCCCATTAGGTCATGTCTAGGGCTGTGAGGTCTATCATACAGCCAGTCCAAACTGGGATACACTGGTGCTTGTGTTTAGTGGGATATTTTCTCAAACCGTTCTTTTATGCCAGCCCCTGGATGTGTGGCTCAAGTGGGTGGTTTCAGTGTAGCCATACAATTAAAAAAATCTGATGCATATTCAGACTTTCAAAAGGCAAATGAATCTGTGCAGAAGAAGCCGCCGTGCACCTGTTTCCCCATTAGGTCATGTCTAGGGCTGTGAGGTCTATCATACAGCCAGTCCAAACTGGGATACACTGGTGCTTGTGTTTAGTGGGATATTTTCTCAAACCGTTCTTTTATGCCAGCCCCTGGATGTGTGGCTCGAGTGGTTTCAGTATAGTCATACAATTAAAAAATTCATAAAATACAACTTGAAATGAAAAATTTTGCTGAGGAAGGAATTAGGAGGAAGCAGGCCTGGATGTGTGGCTCAAGTGGGTGGTTTCAGTGTAGCCATACAATTAAAAAAATCATAAAATACAACTTGAAATGAAAAATTTTGCTGAGGAAGGAATTAGGAAGAAGTGCATACTAAAGAATTATTTGTGATTTCACAAAGCCAAATGTACATCTAGAGTTAATAATTAAGATGCTTTTGCTGTATAATTGGGGACATGGGGAGGATGGGGGGTGCAGCCTCTCAAGCGTTACTCTTTCCTTGCTCCCCTGTTTATAGATCCTTCCCTTCTCTAAGTGATTCATACACAGGAACAGGCATCTCCCAGCAAAACTTCAGAAACCTTTATAGGTCAGGGTGTGGACATTGTGAAATGTTTTACCGGCTCTTCTACCTGTTCTCTCTGCTTCAATAACAGTGTGCAGTGTTTCCAGCGGTGTTATAAATGCTAGATTTTCTTTTCTTGTCTTTTTGAAATGGTTTCATTCATTTTGCTTATGTAATAAGAAGGCAGGCAGAAAGCAAAAATTTTGCATTCTACAGAAATGTCTAGTTCATAAATAAGAAAGAAACCTGCCAATGTGTGAGCACATTGCCAGAAAGAATGTGTGATTAATAGCACAAACCAGTGCTGCATTACCTCATTGCTAACTTCTTCCAGGGGATCAACAAGTCACTTACCAAAGCTGCCTATTGTAATACACCTTAATAAGTTTTAACATTTCTACAAGTGAAATGAGCTATGACTCATACACATTCTGGAGTGCATTCAAGTCTGTTTAAATCACGTTGGAGGATTATTTAGTGCAGGACTTCCTTAAATGGCAGGTGAAACTGCGCGAAGTGATTTGTGGATGCTGATGGTTTCAGCCTCCTTTTATAGACTGAGAGCTCCTGTGGCTTGTTCGTTTGCAAAGGTGTTCTTACCTCATTCACTTAGGCTTAGAAATGACAGTATCTCCTACTGATATTTTTTTTGCTATCCTGTTCTGTTTGTGGGAAATGGAATATGTTAACTTTGAGTGTGTTATTTTTTATGATACTTCACATTTTGAAAATTTTAGTTTCTGTGGACCTGGGTCGATCACTTCTTTGATGTTGAAACAGCACTTCTGTGTATATTTAATACAGAAAGTAGAATAAATACCAGTTAGCAGAGTTCAATCCCTTTTAATACAAGGAATTAATAAAATCATTTTTCCAGCAGTACAGTATCACACTCCAGAAGCTTTCCCTTCCTTCCAGCACGTGGGCCGTCTCTGGTTTCAACTTCCCCAAATGCTGCAGAATCCCCAACACGCCCAGGCACTCATTTTAGTGGGACTATTGGCACGTGTGAATTGAAAAACATCATCAAAGTTGTGCAGGGTCTTGACCGACGGTGCACACTTGAAATAAATCAATCATGTTCTCTCTTTGTTGCCGTCAGAGCCAGCTGGGATTGCTGTGACTGGAGGAGGGCTCTGGAGGAAGCTGTATTATCTAATAGCTGGGCTAAGTAGAAGCTGTGAAGTGATGAATTCTCGTTTAGCCGCTATCAGGGACTTTCTCTGCAGCCTTGAGCAAGTTGTGTCATCTCTTTTTCCAATTTCTCAAGCAATAAAATGGGAATGATAATATACCCCCATTCGTTATCTCCCTCGCTTCATCTCGCGGCGTGTTGTGAGAATATAATGTTAACAGGGCATGCAAGTGGTAAATTTTGGTATCATTATTTATTATGTAAGGTGCAGACCTACCCTAAATACATTTAGAAATGTGTAACTTACTTATCTACCAGAAAACAAATGCAGAAGTAATGGACAAGCACTAGATATAGGGCACAGCATGGCTGGTGACACATAAGCTGTTTGACAAAAAGGAGCTCTGCAGCCACACGTGGCATTCTAAAGCCATGAAAAATTCTCCAGAAATAAGCAATGTTTGCCACAGAATACTTGCTTTCATTTAGAAAACAGAATGTAGAGTAACTAATATTTATATGATTAAGGACTAATTGGTTTACTTTGCTTATTAAGAGGTGGCAGCTGGAATGGCTGTGTTAGAGCCATCGGTGTGTGGTGGCATCAGTCACAGGGTGAAGGATGTGGCCAGCGTGGTGACTGTACTGGTGTGACCGTCACAGGAGGCAGTGACACGGGTGAAGGAGAGGGTGAAAATCAGGCGAGGAGTGGAGTGGGTGGGAATTCTGCTGCCTCTCAGCCAGGACCCTTTGGACTATAATGGAGTGTGACACAGGGACACAGGGAGAGCATCTCTCACCTCTGCAGGAGGGGACATCAGGATACCAGTAAAACCAGTGCATTGCTCAAGAATGTGAAATAAGGACAGGCGTGTTCTTTAAAGCACTTCAATTATTTGTTTTTCCTTTCCTTGTAGTTTAGCACAATCAAAACCTAGCACGAAGCATAGATACTTTCCTTTGATTTAGAAATAAGGGGCTACTTAGAAGTTTTTGTAATTCTTTGTACGACAGCAGTGTGGTAGTGCTCTGTAAACGGGATAAATTAATCTAACTTTAAAGAACACAGAAAATTGTTGAAGAAAATCTAGGCTCATTTTGTCCAGATGCTACAAATGCCAGGTCTGGCTTGTTGGATCTGGTAAGCCATAAGGAAGGACATCATTAATTAGCCAAGAGTTACTAATCCTGTACTACAAGTTTTACCCAATTTAAAGAAACCATTAGGTAATCCATTCAATGCTTTTGGGATCTCTTTGTGCAACAAGGGTGGAGAGTTGAGGGGGGGGCGAAGGGGAACCGTGAACTGGTCCTGACATGCCAGTAAGAAAACATTGTATCACAGAGATGGACTTTGTTTATTTTAAATCTGCATTTTCTTTGAAATTTTCACTTTCTTTTGTGAGCCTTGTTTCAAAGCAAAGCAGGTAACAGGAAGCCTTTATGAAAGTCCCTTCTGAGCAGGTAGAAAGAGCACAGTGACAATTCCCCTCAGGAATAGGAGCCTGCCCTGAACACACTGGTTTATATGCAGACGTTGACTTTGGAATGCAAATCCCTACAGACAGTCATTATGCTCCCTTTCGGCTCTCTTCAGCCTGCTTTACAGTCTGCCTCCTCTAAACACCCCTAACAGTATTTCTCTTTTTCTTGCTCAGTTTTTAGCTTTGCACACCACTGGAAATGTTCTCATTGCTGGGTCCCCTGCGGGTCAGTGCTTGGGCTGACGTGAGGAAGGGGAAGGAGCTTGGATTTGGCTGAAGAGCTGGGGCCTCTCCCCTTCCCTTCGTACGTGTTGTATCTGCAGCTCATCCTGACTGCGGAACCCCCCAACAAAACCCATGAGCATTAACGTGAAAGCAAATAACTCAAATGGTACTTTGAATTAAATGGGTCACTGAGAAAGATGAGAGTATCTGGAAAAGTGCTTCTAATCTTCGAAGGAAAGTGCGTAAAGACAGTTAAAGAAAATGTCTCTAATGCTGAAGAATAAAGAAATGTTTCCAGGGCAACTATTTCAGTAAGGTGTACTTTATAACAGTCCTACCACTGATGCTGTTTTAAATGGTGACATCAAAAAATTGTATATAGGGAAGTCTAATAGTTTTGCTTGTGTGTCACCTGTAACTTGTGTCACCTCTGTCCTTCTTTTTTGGGCCCCCCCAGTTTTGTCCCTCCTGAAAGAAGGAGGCTTTTGCAGCCTTGGCCCCTGTCAGTGACACTGCTGCCTTGGGCTGGTGCATATGCAGGAAAAATGAAAACTGGAACAAGTGGTGGAAAAGAGTTTATTGACTGCAGTGAGGTATATGATGAGAGACATAAGACCAGAAGAGAAGTTGAGAGATTATTCACTTTAAATTATAGTTAATTTGCAGAGCAATAAATGAATCACAGATGGAGATTCCTGCCCCGGTGAGATGTGCATAATATATATATATATATGTTAACCAGCTCAGCCAGTCGTTTTCATAGCTTTTCTTCAGCATTTTGATGACTGAAACCTCTTTAACCTGACAATGTCAGCTCTACCTAGCTCTGTGTGGCACTCGTCATGATTAGGCTGCAGATCATTGCAGGAGGGAGTTCAGTGTAATATCCCTGTCCTACACCCTGGGAGACCAACGTGCAGCACGTAGTTGCAGAGAAGGGGCACAGCAGGAGTGGGCAGAACCCTGATTTCATACTTGCTGGTGGATCTCGTTGACGGTGGAGGAGACCACCTGCCCGTTCACACTGTCGTGGACAATTGCTTTGATCTTCCGATTGCTCAGCCCAGCGTGTTCTGCCAGAAAAGGGAAGGTTAATTAGCCAAGAAGCAGTGCTGAGACAACACGACGCAGAGAAAGCTGCAGTAATTCACCAGCTACTCCTCAGCTGATTTATCTTTACATGTTTCCCTTTAAGTCAATATTTATGATTGCTCTTTGTACTCCAGAGTCACCCCAGTCTCAGCCAGGTCAGGGCCCATGAGCCACACACACAGCATCAGCCCAGCCAATGCAAATGGCAGCTCCGAGCAGAGCAGCCGGAATGTCTGCAGGACACGCTCCTGCCGGAATGGGAGTTTCCAGACATGCAGATTTGCTGTTGGCTCTCAAGCCCTGGCACTGGTTTAGTCACCCAATGGAGTCTCTGGGCCTCCTCAGGCGCCAGGAGAGCTCCTGTCTTGAGCTTGAGTTTTGGACACGGGTTTGACTGACAGAGACAGTCCAGGAGAGTGCAGACACAGCAGAAGGTGCTCTGAAGTGCAGCCCTTCACGAGACCGATGAATCACTGACATTATTCTCAAATATGGCCTACATGAGAATTAACTCAGAGGTCATTCATGTAAGGTTAAAATTACTCTGAGTAAAATTTGATTGAAAATGACAGTAATTGAGAGTCACTATAGAGAAAAAAAAAAGGGACTTTTACCTTTAGCTTTTGATTCGGATTTTCTTGCTATCCTGTAAAGACAATAAAAGAGAGAAAAAATAATGATTATACTAATGTCAAGAAGTTATTCATTCCCTCCTTCTCACTGATTCTAAGGAGACCTCATAGCACTGTGAGAGATAGAATAAAAAAATAAATAAAAGAATGAGAACTTTTCCCCTTCAGCAGTCCTAGGCACAGCTGTGCTCAGCTGGAGCTGTTCCTGTCCCCGCTCACTCGTGCCTGCGGAAAAAAAAAAGGGACTTTTACCTTTAGCTTTTGATTCGGATTTTCTTGCTATCCTGTAAAGACAATCAAAGAGGGAAAAAATAATGATTATACTAATGTCAAGAAGTTATTCATTCCCTCCTTCTCACTGATTCTAAGGAGACCTCATAGCACTGTGAGAGATAGAATAAAAAAATAAATAAAAGAATGAGAACTTTTCCCCTTCAGCAGTCCTAGGCACAGCTGTGCTCAGCTGGAGCTGTTCCTGTCCCCCCTGCTCACTGGGGGCTGCTGCAGTTTCTCATTCTTCTGAGTTCCCAACCTGATCTTATTTGGGCTGACAACAGATACCATGAGCCTGGTGCCCTCCTGGCCTGCCCCCCGAGATTTTCACTTATAAAGGCTTCTAACTCTGAGTAAAATTTGATTGAAAATGACAGTAATTGAGAGTCACTACAGAGAAAAAAAAAAGGGACTTTTACCTTTAGCTTTTGATTCGGATTTTCTTGCTATCCTGTAAAGACAATAAAAGAGAGAAAAAATAATGATTATACTAATGTCAAGAAGTTATTCATTCCCTCCTTCTCACTGATTCTAAGGAGACCTCATAGCACTGTGAGAGATAGAATAAAAAAATAAATAAAAGAATGAGAACTTTTCCCCTTCAGCAGTCCTAGGCACAGCTGTGCTCAGCTGGAGCTGTTCCTGTCCCCGCTCACTCGTGCCTGCGCTGGGGGCTGCTGCAGTTTCTCATTCTTCTGAGTTCCCAACCTGATCTTATTTGGGCTGACAACAGATACCATGAGCCTGGTGCCCTCCTGGCCTGCCCCCCGAGATTTTCACTTATAAAGGCTTCTAATTGTCCTTTTTCTGATCTTGTATAAATAAGCCATTCCCTGTATGTGAGATGAAAGAATGAAAAATAGAGGCTCAAAGGTTTGTGAGGTCAGAAATTTCAGATGAGGCAGAGGTGGGGGAACCCCAGAACCCGTCAGCAGAGGGGCTCACTCAGGGCTCTCCGACCTCATGTTGTGTGCTGGCATTTGGAACATCTAAACTTGTCTCTGGGCTTCTTTTTGATCTAGGACTTCTTTTGAAGGTAGGAAATGACTATGAATTTTACTGAAATTAGCATTTTTTCCTATGCTGAGATAGGCATGCTGTGGGAACGGAGTTTTGTTTCTTTTTTAATAAAAAGTTATATTAATTTAGATAATCCAAATTACATGGGTACAAGTTTCTCTGTATACAAAGTGGCTCAAGCTTTTTATTATGATCCATCATATTAAAATACCAACCCTTGATGTAGTATGGAACTCGCAGGCTTTGATTAAGCATAAACAAACAAACAACAAATAACCCCAATATGAGAACTCTCCTCTCATCTATTCCAGTCGGGGCGGCTTTGCCTTACCCGTCAACATTCCCTTCCAGCAGCAGGCGATAGGTGGAAATTTCCTTCTCCAGGCGGGTTTTGATCCCAAGAAGAACCTTGTATTGGTTATTTTGCTGCTTAATGTCATGCCGGACCTGGCTCAGCTCTTCCTCACATTTGGAGATGATCTGCTGCATGTTTTGCAGCGCAGCAGCGTAGTAATTCCGAGTGTCCACCAAGGTGTCCTCCAGCATGCGCTTCTGACAGAGCAGATCATACCAACACTGGGGTTATTATTTCTGTGGTTGTTATTTATGTGGTAGATACAATGCAGAAATGCCAGCAAATTTGGTCTCTGGCTAGAAGATCACAAAATTAAGACTGTGGTAATTGAAACACTTATGCATTTGCATGACTATTCCCGTGCAGACAGCAGAGTCATGGAGCTGTGGCGTGTGTGCATAACGAGAGGCAAACTCTGGGTAATTAGTCCCTGCCATGTTCTCTCTGCTCAGAAGCTGTGCTCTTGGAGCTCTGACTCTTCTGTCGGTTCTGCATTTACTGTCCAGAAGCTCCAAGGTCTCTGAGTCATGGATGTGTGAGCTTTAATCTATACAAGAGCTGAGTAATAGTTTTGAAGATTTCCCACCAACATTTTTCACAGTTGAAATACTTCATGCATTGTAATAGCAGTTGTGAATATGAACTTTGTGTCACTATCTGTCTTCTTGGGCATTTTTTCTCTTTAGGTCATGGAGACAGCTATCCTATCTCTGCTCTTTCTTCTCCCCATATTTTATTCTGAGGAGACACATACACTTTTCACATTTTGGTGATGGTTGCTGAACCTTTTTGCATATTCTGGCAAAGTCAAGCGTGGTCCCAACTCCAATTTCACTGATACTTTAGTAATTACAATAAAGCTCTGCTAGGCTATGGATTTAAGTGAGGAATTGGTCTGTGACAATTTCTGAGCTATTGGAAGTAGCAGTGAGATGCCAGCGAGGTCTGCAGTAGGTACCTTACTCATCTGTGCCTGCAGCTCGATGTCCAGGGACTGCAGAGTCCGTGTGAGATCCTTGATCTCGTTCTCACTGCGCTGCATCTGCTCGGGGTTGGGGGCTGCTGCCAGAGACAGAGCTGTGCTCTAGGGACCAAAAAAAGGCAAGGTAAAAGCTGCTGAGTCTGGTCATTCATGAACAGCAACAGGGATCCTTGAAATAGATCCAGAAAATAGCCGTTACCTGTTCTTTGTACCAACTGTCCAGGCTTTGACGATTCTTTTCAATTATGGCTTCATAATCTTCTCTTATTTGTGCGAGGATCTTGGCTAAGTCTTCAGGAGGTGCCGCATTTACTTTTACATTGACTTTGAAGTCTTGTGATGAGCGATTTGCTTCCATATCCTAATCACATATTGGCAGAGGAAACAAGCAAACTTGTTTATGAAAGTGGAAGGTTTTCATTCCTGCTTTGACTTCTTCAGTTCCATCCTCTCACATAATCCAAAATATTATTTTCATTACGGTAGGCTAATTGTTATAGATATTCAGTTAACACTATTGGCAAAATTTATACATGGGTAATACTCTGCCGTGGCTTAAACCAGAGACTTGTAGCTGTTTCTGTGGCAGAACTGTGCCAGAGAACTCACTAAAAAACACGGGAGAAGGTCTTTCATAGAATATTTCTGGAAGATACATACACAATGGAGAAGCACTGACTTTTTTTATTTATTTATCTATTTGGAACCCAAAACCTTTGATGAAAATCTAACAGTAATTTCATCTTTCTTACCCTCCATGTTAATATTTATGGAACTCTAAGTAAGTTTACAGGAGAGTAATGTAAAAGTTCTATGTAATTGTTAAAGGAATAATTGGATTAAAGCGTATAATTACTGTGTAAACAACATAATTACAGGACAAGTCAAGCAGGTCTGGTAACATTCCTTTCGGTGTAGCACAATCCTGTGTGCTAGGTACCATTTTCAGAAGCGCCCAGGCAAAGCGGCGTTTCAGGGTATGACATCACGGCCTCTGAAATGCCAATGGACTGGACATGCTGATGTCTCTGCTGGTTGCCCTGGGCTACTGGAGCCGTTCAGCAGTGTCCTGGGCTACAGGGGGATCGACAAAGGCAACTTCACCTGCTGCTGTGTGACCCTTGTATTTCTGTTCTCCTTTGCAAGTATTTCTGAGAACATTTCTGTTGGATATGTATATGTGACAGAGGGATCTGGGAGAAAATTCAGCAATTTGTTATCCTTTCTGAAATCCCAATTACATTGGCAAAGTAGCACACAAACTTTGTGCCTCATCTGACTCTCGTTGGCTGCTTTAGAAATATGGTTAGGTTCTGAATCATCAATCCCATTTATAGACTGTGGATCTTACTCAAAGCTAATTACACGGTAGCGAAGATTTGTGTGATAGGATTTTACCAAGTGGAGCTTTTCCTACCTCCTCATGGTCTTTCCTCCTGAGGATGTGCTCTTCTCTCAAGCCTTCAATTTCCATTTCCAGGTCTGTTGTAATAATAGTCAGGCCATCGAGCTCCTTACGCAGGTTCTCAACATCAAGCTGCACTCCCTGCCTGCGAGACTTCTCTGCTTCATACCTGGGTCAGGAAGAAGAGGATAAAGTGTGTTTGCTGAGAGCAAGTGGCTTCTACCCTCTCCCATAAGGGGTATCAGAGAGAAGTAGACTTGCTGGAGCCCTCTATGTAGGGAACTAGAAAGAACAAAAAATTCTATTTCTAAAATATGTTATTTGAATACTCTTGAAAGTCTTAAAAATAAGATAGGTTTCATTATTGTTTTTCTTTCTTCCTCACAACTCTTCCTGTATGGTATGAAATAATTGTTCTTTCTTTCCTTTTCCTTTTTCCATTTTAATATTCACCAGGTTGTGAAAGCTTTGAGGATATTCTCAAAAAATTGCCAATAAAGGTGCAAACACAGTATCAACAATCAATACTTTCTGTGGTTTCCCAAAATGATAACTTTTCAGACCTTCAGAAAACAGAGACAATGTCGTGGTAGGCAGTTATTACCATTCCCCTCTGACCCCTGCAGTTTGCCTTCTGTAGGGGCCAAAGGCAGAAGGACGTGTGGTTTCCCAAAATGATAACTTTTCAGACCTTCAGAAAACAGGGAGAATGTCATGGAAGGCAGTTACTACCGTTCCCCTCTGACCCCTGCAGTTTGCCCTCTGTAGGAGCCAAAGGCAGAAGGATGTGGCCATGTCTTCCCTGGGGCACATGAAGCACTTTTGCTTCTCAGAATCTCTGCCTTTACTTCATTTTTTGTGGGCACTATTAATGTTCCCACTTTCAATCCTCAGACTCACTCTGTAATTCCAGTCTCTCAAGGTAGTTCCACCGTTCCCTTTCTGACACTGTTGGTGCTAAAGGAAGGAGGGCAGGGTTAGGGGAGGCCTTCAGAGTCTGAGATTCTCATAATATTCCCAAAACCTGAGATATTTTTTTAATAGCTGATCATCATCTGTTGAAAATAGGACAAGTCTTCATGATTCCTAAGAAGTCTAACTTACAGAAATGTCAATTTCTTTCCTTTGCAAAGATCTGCCTGGACGTTTTCTGTCCAAGCATTTTGGCTTTTTAGTTGGTCCGAGAACTCTCTCTCCACAGCGTGTGGAAAGGCCAGACCCTGAGCTGGGAGCCCTGGGCCAGTCACTGGGACAGAACCTGTGGGACTCCAAAGCAGAAGATACTGAAGGACGGGTATTTCCTGCGGAGCTGGACAGCGGGGGGATAAGTACAGGAAATAGATTTGGGCTGGACGGGGGAAGCACGGTGCAGAGAGGGCTTAATTGGGATTCCCCAATGACAGTTTTGAATGCCTTTTGTCACAAGTGTCAAGTGTCTGCTGTAAAACCTGCTCTTCAGGACCTCAACTAAGTATCACAAACAGGGTGACTCAAGATTGTTCAGCAATCATTTGTGGTTTTTACATCCTTTTTTTTTTTTTTTTTTTTTTTTCTGCTCTACATTGGTTTTATTTATCAAGTATCACCAGAAAACCTCAGCAAAATCAGTTACATATTGGATTATCAAGAAAATGCAGTATTTCCATTAATCCTCTTTCAAACTTAATCAGGAAACCAAAGAAGAGCTTACTTGAGCCTGAAGTCTTCAGATGCCATGTTGGCGTTATCAATTTGTAAAAGGATGCTGGCATTGGTGATCTTGCTATCCTCAATCTGGAAAACAGAGAATCCAAGAGGAGACTCAGCGTTGCCGTATGTGATGGTGAATAACCCGTCCTGGCTTAGACTCCCTGCTGCTTGTAGGCAGTGTCTAAATAGTCCCATGGTAAAGAGAGTACATGAATGAAAAACGTTTAGTTTCCCAATTCCATTAGATGTTATTGCAGTTTTTGTCCATAATCTTACTTTTCTCTTTGTCTTTCTTTTCTGGACCCAAAGCAGGAAGAGTTATCTTATTCCTGGCCAGGTAGAGGATATGAATAATATTGCACAAACGTCATGGCATATTACACAACAACCATCCCTGTCCTCCTCTCTTTTTGTGAACTGGGTTTGATTCTGTTTAGTGGTGCTGGGAAAGCAGCCTTGGTCATCATTAGGGCAAGTTTCATTAAGAACCATTTAGCTATGTCTGAGTACAGTCAAACACTGACAATGATAAGCTGAGAAGCAAGTATGTGCAGAAACAGCTCCCTGAGCCAGTGTTGTGCTGCAGAGACACAACGATGGGGGTGGGAGCAACTCATGAGCAGGATCCCTCAAGTCCACCCCGTGCTTCAGTCTGGAGTCACACTGATTGCCATTTGGACAAGAACACTGGGATCTAATTGTCACAGTCCATTCAGTTATTCACCTCTAACTGTCGTGAATCGTCCAGCAGCACAGAGTGATTAATTCATGTTTCTGATTTTGCTTCGGGATGTTGAAAATTGCCCTAAAAGGCGCAGGTGAAAGTGCAGCTCATCATTTGTTTCATGTACTCAGCATGTGCTGAAAAGACTTGCAAGTCCCTGTTAATAGGAGATAGCTGTGAACTATAGATTGAATATATAGATTGAAAAGCTCAGTATTCCATTCAAAATCTTTGAAACAATTCTAGTGGGAACTCATACAAAATTAGGAGGAACTAATAATTGTGGGGTGTCATGTCCTTTTCTGGCAGAGAGGAAAGAGGACGATTGCTGTTCCAGCGGCTGCCCTCACTCAGCACTTCCACAGCAAAACAAGGGGCGTTACGGCTGCACAGAAATCATTAGCCTTTCACAGAGCTCTCAGCACCTTGAAGTAAAACTTCCCACACCGAAATGAATCACAGAGAAACAAGGAAATGACAAAATTGTCCCGAAGTGTCAAAAGTTTACCTCTCGTAGTAAAAAAGAAGGTGCTTGTGGAATGTTTTAACTAATCTGTTAACAGACCGTACGCTCGTGGGCAATTAGCAGCACCCTCGGCTACTGCCCTGGGCCAGGATGAAGGCCGGCTGAAGAGGTGTAACCATACCCTAAACGTGGTGCTGCCTGGAACGGGGTGTCAGAGAAGAGGCAATTCTTGAATCCATCCTTAGAGAATGGTAAATTTTACTACGGAAGGAAAGAAGTCAATGAGAAAGCAGCATGTGAGTTCTTCAGCTTGATAACCACACAGGGATACATTTCTGTAAACGCTTTGTGGCTCTTTCTGAGCGATCGGAAGGAATAAAGAAGCCAAGAAAGGAGTTAGGATTTTGGGAGTTGTGCCAGCTGTCGTGGGATACTGACTGCGGTGCTGGTGAGCAGTGTGTTCCCAGTGTGGACATCTATCTGTCCAGTTATACAAATTTCTTCATTACATCCCTCATGAGTATGGCTGCATCACTAATAATACTCTGCAAACTTACAGATAATTTATTTAAGAACTCACATGTTATTCTATACAAAATACACCCCAATTCCTTCTCAAAACAGATGTTTTTCAATAAGGGTTCCTGCACTGATTTCTTCTTCAGCACGTCTTGTGTCCTTTGTCCAACATCAATGCTGCTGGACAGCAAACTGCTCAGTTTGCTTATTTAGTGGTACCAGATGCTTGAATGAGCCATTTACCTGAAGAACTGGTGCTATTTTGCTGTGTCCCTGGGTCAGAATGGAGCCAGGGTGGAGCAAGGGAACTGCAGCTCCCTCTGCCATGGTCATCCAGAATCCAGGTGTCCAGGATGGGGTGTGGACCCAAGGTGGGACCCACATGTTTATACACCTCTGAGGTCAGACAGCCAGTACCTCACAGACTTACTTGATACAGGATCCTAAATTTTTTCACATGTTTATACACCTCTGAGGTCAGACAGACTTACTTGATACAGGATGCTAAATTTTTCCTACATTTCATTTTAGGTGCTAAATTAGTTTCACCTTTTAAATTCATGGTTAATTAATTTAATTATGGTTAATAATTAGAGGCTATATTTTTCACTCATTTTACTGGCCGTCGTGGCGCTAATTGCAAAAATTATAGAGAAAGTAAAAATTCTGGGTTAAATCACTGCATCATTGCCTGTAAATGATACTTTAATGGCCCCTCCTGCCATGCTCAGCCCCCGCTGCCTGTCCCAGTCTCAGAGGTGCCTGTGGCCAGTGATCGCTGGTTACATGGGGAGTGGTAAAAATAAGTGTTTTGGGTACAACCTATTCAAAACTGAGGGTTTTATCCCAGTCAGCATCATGCTTTTAGTCTTAACGCCTTCCTAAGTATCTCTGATTTATTAGTTCCAAATCAATGTGAGCATGTTTATATTCCTGATGAGCAAGTTTTTATCTCGGGATCAGGTAAAAAAAAAAAAAAGTGCTTGAGTGCTAGTTCTGGAGCCGGATGACCTTTCTGTATCCTTAAAAGAGAAATAGGTGATGACAATTCTGGCTCTCTGTACACATTGTCTGTGGTCGGAGCAACTCATCTTCTGCCTGGAGGCAACACATTTACCAGCGAGCAGGGAGTTTGATTAAGTCCCAGCCTCAATCAGCAAAGATGTGGGATAATTCCATTTCCAGCCCTTTTGGAAAAAAAAGCCTTTCAGGGTCTTGAGAATGCCAAGTGGCCGTATTATAAAAAGTGGAGGGAAAACTACAGCACTGCGTTTGGAACAGCTTTGGTTTTTGCCTCATATGGCTGTATAAAGTTAATTACACTGATTAGTCACACAGATGGTTACAGCGCTAGGTATGTTCATTATGAATACAGATTAATACTATGCTTAAATTTGAAGACACGTGAGTTTGGGAGATTGAAAGAGTTATTGTTGAACGTTAATATTAACTACTGGCAGGAACCAGAAATTCTCCTTTTAATTATAGTGAAAACATCCACAAGGAATTTGTCACTGCTATTTTCTTAATTACAATGAAGTATTTTTCCATCTGATTACATAAGCTCATTGGACCCAAAGCTCCTGCAGTTTCATTGTCTGCTGCCACAGGAATCAAAGGACTGAAAGGCAGGAGTATGTCTGCAGAGAGCGGCGTGAGACAAGGCAGTCTCTTCGCTTCGCCTGCTTTCTAATTTGCTTGAATGCATGTGCAGTCAAAAAGAGCAAATTCTGCCAGACATCGTTACCCAAACCACAGTTTCAGGTAGAGAAACCAGCGCTCGGCAGCACACAGACCTCTTCGTGCTCTCAGGCTTTGCAGGATCCCCCTTGGCTCCTTCCAGCCTTTCTTTCTGGTAAACCATTCTCCTCCTCGGTTCTGCCCAGGTCCTGTGACCACTTGCATTAATATTTCTAACATTTAAAAGGCTTGATTTAACTTTCTGTAAAGGAACGCCATCAGCATAAATGAGTCCCCAGATTCCTTAAAGGAGTGTAGAATGACAGAGTGTCAGCTCTGACTTACCTGTCTTTGCATGTCAGTGACGTTCTGCTCGTACTGGTTGAAGTCATGCCTCTTGCTGTGAGATTTTGTCTTGTGCCACTCTCGGATGCAGCTCTCCAGCTGAGCGTTGGCTGCTTCTAAGGAGCGGACCTTCTCCAGGTAGGCAGCCAAACGGTCATTCAGGTTTTGCATAGTCTGTTTCTCATTGCCCCCCAGGAAGATGCTCTCCCCATAGTGCTCGCCGAAGCCTCCCCAGGCTGCCCCTCCTCCGGCAGCCAGCCAGAGGGGTCTGGCAGAGGAGAAGGAGGTTTGGGAGCTGCTGGCACCACCATCTGCACTTGAAGGTCTGTAAGAAGTTCCTTGCTGGGCCAAACCACACCCTGCACTACCCCGGAGGGACCCAGAGAAAAGCTGGAACGGGCCTTGGCTGGTACCCATGTTGTGAATCCAACCCAATGTTTGACTGAGGAGCACTGAGCGGCTCCTTAGCCTTCCCTGAGCAGCTTTATGCCTTTTCCTGTGGGAGTTTCCCTTCGATGAATGACTACAGCAACAAGATTGTGTCATCGTGAAACGTGCTTCCTCTTGGTCAATTCCGAAGCATTTATGAGCCTGCACACACTGTTGTTGTTATTTGGAATTGCAGCCGCATACCAGATCGCTTGCCTTTTGCTTGTTTTGTTTGGTTTTTTTTTTTTTTTTCTTTTTCTTTTCATATTGTAATAGTGAGGTGTGGCTAAAATCAGGAGGTGTGGAACAGGATCAGCTCTGCCTCAGACTTTTTCTCGCCCTGTGGTTCATATGTTATATTTTCCTGCTTATGAGGGAAGAGTATCATCCATTACGGAATAAACAGAGAGCTGGGGCAGGGGTGGCTCTCGAGATCCTTTCTTTCTGCTGTAATGCTCAGGCTTTGGAATTACAGCAGTTTGTGAATCCCGAAACGCAGCGTGTCCTGTCAAGCTGTCACTAAGGTACCCAACAGCTTCAGCCTGAGGGAGACAAGAGGCTTTAATGAAGTTATCCAGCCTCTGTCATCGCACTGAAACTCTGGTCCAGAGCAGGGCCCTGCTGTTCCCTTCAGCTGCCCATTGAAATACCTGAGAATTAGGTACTTAACACTATTTTCTAGTCATTCGAGGTTCAGTCGCGTTTCAATAGTCTTGCTGAAATAGATAGTAGTGCAGGAATTACTTCCTGTAACTAGAATTAATTATACTGAGAAATTTTTGTGATTAATTATAGAAAATTATTTAGAGTATGAATTTGTAACAACACTCGAAAAATTCAAGTGATGATTTAAAGCTACCAGCCCTAAAAACTGACCTGGCAATTATGCAAAAAGAGTCTTTCTCAGGAGTTTCAGTAACCTTCTGTCGAACTTCTTCCATCACATTTAGAAGGGGCGAGCCTGGCTGCTGCAGAGATTTTCTTATTCCTCGTGCTGATGAGCAGGGAGTGAATTGTGTTCCCGTGGCACCAGTGGGGTTACTGGGTTCCCCTTCTCCTTCCGAGTGGTTTGGGGCTGCAGCTGAGGGCTGGGCTGGGGGAGGCTTTGGGAAGAGGTTGGAAACAGGGTGGGCACGGGCTGGTTTTCCTGAGAGGAGCCGAGGGCTTGGCTCTTGAACAAGATCTTTCTTAGCACCGTTACTCATCGGAATGGGGGGCTCGGAGACGCTACAGACCAGAACTGCACTCTCTTGGATGGAGCCTGAAGGAATCTTTTTTTTTTTTTTTTTTTCTCTTGTCTCATTTGAAATCTCAGCTCCTCACCCCTCGCCGGGCTGTCTCCAGCGCTCCCCTGGGAGTTGGGCAGGATGGGAGCTCCTCCTTGCGGCTCAGCGTCAGCTCTGCCAGCGCCTGCAGATTTTCTACCAGCCAATTTCCACCCAGTGCATATTCCTTCTTATTCCTCACACACTTCGTTGTATAGAGATGCTAACATTTTTAATTGTTTGGGGAAATTCATCACTGAAGAGATGGTTTTCCAATAAGTACAAGGTATTTGCTATCACAAAATGTTCTCATAAAGGCTACTATTAAGAGATGCCGTTCGGCGTCAGCCCTGCTGCTTGAGAGGTAGGAACCTGAAATACCAGACAAAAAAAGAAGGCCTAACTTGAAAAAAACCCCAAATAACAATAGAACCCATGATACCCTGCTGTCAGGTCATCCCTCCAGAGTTTAATTTCAGACTGAATTTTCTACCCTGGCAGTTCAGCAACTAATGTTGTATGAAGTATTACACTGAAATAGAAATACAGACGTATGCACATAGTATTACGTGAAATAAAATGAATTCTTTGTTTCACGTGCAATTACTCAGTGAGATTCACACCTTGTCTGGCACCAAGACTGACAGTTTGTGAGACAGAATCACTTCTGTCTTGTACCCTGAGAGATTCACGGAATATCGGGTCATCGTGAAAAAGAGAATTGCCTTTTTTTCTGGCAAGTAATATAGAACAAAGGTGATCTGGCCCATTCTGAAGCTCAGCCTTTTTGAAGCTGGAAAAGATGGCACACAGTTTTCATCACCACATGGTAAGGATCCATGGAAAAGACCAAAAAACTTCCTTCAGGAGCGGGCTGGCACTATGGGACATGGTTCTGGTGAGTCACTGAATCCCCGGGGTGCAGCAGGAAAGCGATGCTCCGGCAGGAAAACCAGCCACTGTCAGCAGGTGGCACCAGGAGCTGGAGATGAATGGTCCATGGACCTCCTGGAGCTCCTGGGCGTGCCCAAGGGACGGAGGAGCACTTGGTCCCAGGATGCTTTCTCTGGGATCGTACTTGTTTTCACTGAATTTCACTGAATTTCACTGAATTTTAGAGTTGGAAGGGACCATAGAGATCATCTAGTCCAACTCCCCTGCTGAAGCAGGATTGCCCAGAGCTTGTCAGAGCATGTTACTCAGGAGCATCCAGGCGGGTCTTGAAAATCTCCAAGGAAGGGGACTCCACACCCTCCCTGGGCAGCCTGTTCCAGGGCTCTGCCACCCTCACTGGGAAGAAGTTTCTCCTCATATTTGAGTGGAACCTCTTCTGTTCCAACTTGTGCCCGTTGCCCCTCGTCCTCTCACTGGGAGCCACTGAAAAGAGTCTGGCTCCCTCCTCCTTCACCCCACCCTTGAGATACTTGTAGGCAAACTTGTAGGTTTTACTGAGTTGCAACTCAAAAAAGAAAATTAAATGAATTTCTAGGCTGCGGTTTCAGTACAGGCAGAGTATTTTGACACCTCCGTTCTACAGGTGAATACCCCGTGAGCATCACTTGTTGGTTCAACTCCTCCATCAGAAATACGAACGGAGGTGCCTGTGGCTGTAGAATGGCCCTCTCTTGCTGTCTCAGCGATGTATCTAACAGTCACCTCATTTCTGGGGCAGGAAAAATATCTGTACTGTTTGGTGTTACTTTTCTGGCAGACTGTGATGGTGCGTTGCCAAAATTTGCAAGAACCAATTCTCAGTTCTTTCCAGTGGGAATACAGCAGTTCAGGTGATCCTTACCCACGGTAACACCAATGATCCTGTGCTTTCTCGTGCCAAAACTGTGGGGCTGGTGCTTGCAGCGTAGGTATTTTATTTTAAATGTCACAAAATAGAAGACAAAAATGAGTGGCTCTAAGGAGGTTGAAAGGAATATAAAATACATAATTCTAGAAATGATACCATTTTTGTGGATATTATTATGTGGATTGAAATACCCAGCAATGAAGCTAACAAAAAATTTTCCAAACAGGTTGTGTTAGAGAAATACAGCATTTATGTACATGTTCTATATGCTTCTGCAGTCGGGATTTGCTGGCCTCTTCCATCTTTATGTGTCTCCCTTGATGACACTGCTGGACGTTGGCAGAGCAGCCCCTGCAGAGGAAGGCCTGTTGCTAATCCAAGGGGATAGCACAAGGCTGTTGAGGCTCTTCTTTATGCAGAAACCAGAAGAGTCCCAGCAAGCCCTGCTGGAGCCATTCATTCCACCTGGGCCTTGCCCAGTGCTTGCCCAAGAGTGAAGGGAATTTGCCTTTTTGCTGAAGGAAGTGCAGGAACATAAATATATGTATATGGACAAATAATATTTTTTTTTTCAGAGGTGCATTTTATTTGTGCATGAATTGGAGTCACGTTGTGCACTTTGAATTCACAACAAAGCGATTAAGGATTTTTGCATTATCTTCTAAGTTAACTACTATAAGCTAATATAGTAGTTATAGTAGTTATCTGATAGGAGCTTCAGATTCCTGGGACAATCTGATGGTACTTTGTCCATTCAGCATCACCTTTATTGTTATTATTAAAGTTATTATTGTTATTGTAGTTTTTATCCACTGAGCATCTCCTGTTGGGGTTACCCTGTGTTAGGAGGGTGTATGGCAATGGCCACGACAGCTTCAAATAAACGACATTAGACGGGATGTATTTGCACAAGCAGAACAGAAACTTTATTATGTAGGTTCTTTCATAAGGGAACTATAACAGCTACTGACAGAAACCAAGCTCGTCATCTCTGACCAATGACCATGTAAAAAGGGAGAGCAAGTTTGAGGAAAGACATCAGGCGGTTGCACATTCTTGGATTACATTCTTGTGATGTGGTGAAAGTAAAAGGGTATTTCTTCTGGCATTAGCCAACGGGGAGGCTGCGCTGGTTTTCTACCGTGCCATGTGCAAGAGGGGATTTGGTATTTCTCTACTGGTATCTCCTGTCACGACCAGGAGGAGCTCTTCCATCATCTTCCGCACCCGGGCGCGGTCTTCCAACACCTGAAGTTGCTGTTGTAGGGGAAAAAAGTGAATTCAACAAGGGGGAAAAAAACACACTGCTAACATGCTGAAGAGCCCCATGATGGGGCTTTTTGTTTGTTTCCTCACAAGATCTTTTTCACATATCAAAGGGGGAACTGCCTTTACATCTTCTCTCCCTCCGGGTTCCTCTTTCAGTAAATCTTAGGGGTGCACATCACGTCTCAGATTGGGATGTATCTTATACGGTGTGTGAATCAGCAGAAGAATTTAGGAATCTTTGGGAGATTTTGGTATTTTAGCATCACAAGAGGAGTTCATGCAATCATTTTGGCAAGCTACTGGTTTCAAAAGTGCACATAAAGTAGAATAAAGTCTCTTAATAAAGAATGAGGTCATTGCAGAGAGAATGTAATCTGTGTTAGTAAGAAATCCTAAGCGGAAAAAAAAAGGTTTATCTAATCCTATTTTGTTAATTCATTTAAGCCCCTCTTTAAATAAAAAATTTTCTTACCGTCTTTAGGTTTCACTACTGGCATCCTGTGGAAAAGAAGAAAGATTTGGTTAATGACCATCACTGACCCTGTCCACTGAGACCATTGATCTGTTTGGGAACCACTGCGTGTGACCAGCTGTGATTTCCCAGCTGTGGGTTCCTCAGCTGGGCTGGTACCAGCGGGGGTGGTAAAGGGCTTTCTGCTGTGAAAGCTGCTCCTGCGTCCTCAATAGGAAATAGGAACAGCAGTTGGACTAGTTCATGGTCTTGATATGTCTCTATACACTTCTCCTCAAAATGTCACAATCTAGGAACCATATAAGGAGCAGATTCCTCATCAGAAATCAGAATTAATTCCCTGTGTAGATCAGCTATGAGAAATGGGCACTAAAATGTAGATTTTACTAAAGGAAGCACCAAGTTCTGTTCTAGCTGGGAGTACTGGTGTATGATGATGGATATTTTTACCTCTCTGCACAAGCGTAGAAAACCAAGAGCTAAAGAAATACTGAGAACAGGTTTTTATAGGTTATTTCAGGCTGAAGGCTTGTTCCAGTGCAGCAAGAGGATTATATGGTGCCTGGTGCCTTCTATAGTTCATTGTAGTCAAAATGCATTTATATTTTCAAATCATCAGCACAATTGATTTGGGGATTTAGCTTGAGTTATAGCAACGCCTGGGATTTTGCCAGGTGTCTGCTTTGCCATTGCTCAAAAGGCTGCGTGCGCAGCGACTCTCATTAGTAACCTGGAGTCAGCATTAACAACCTCAATTACTGCTTTGCAATGTGTCACGTTATTAACCTTATCTAATCATCATAGGATTGTAAATAGTAACGTACTGAGAGTCCTGGCCCTCCAGCAGCTGCCGGTACGTGGCGATTTCCTGCTCCAGGCGACTCTTGATGTCCATGAGCATTTTGTACTCCTGGTTCTGACGCTCCATGTCGCATCGGAGCTCACTCAGTTGCTCCTCAACGCTGGTGATGAGGACCTGAATCTGGGACAGCTGCGCGCAGTACCGGCCTTCCGTGTCCCGCAGGTTGGCTTCCAGTCCTGCTTTCTAAAGGGAGTAACATCAGAAGAGGTTAGAACCCAGCAATGTCCCAACTGGGGGAGCTGGAGGAGAGGCAGGATGGGGAGGGAGGAAGGGCAGGGTGTGAAGGGCAGCTCCGTACCATGCTGAGCTGCGACTGGAGCTCGATCTCCAGCCCCTGGACGGTGCGTCTCAGTTCTGTGATCTCCGATTTGCTGGTCTGTATCTCTTGTGTGTGGCTGGCAACTTCGCGGTTCAGCTCGTCAGTCTGAAAGAAAAAAACAACTGTAAAATCAGGCACACATTGCATAAAATTTTTTAAAATTATTTTGGGAAAGGGAGGGCCCATCCCCTCTGCTGGGGAGTGGAGGGCAGTGTGTCAGTTTGGTGTCTGTTGGTGTGACTGTACCTGAGTGAAGAACCAGGCCTCAGCATCCTTCCTGTTCTTCTCAGCCAGAGCTTCGTACTGCTCCCTCATCTCGGAGAGGATTCTGGTCAGGTCAATGCCAGGAGCTGCATCCATTTCCACGTTGACTGTTCCACTGAGCTGGCTGGAATACTCCTTCATTTCCTGCGTGGGCAGAGGCAGAGGACACAAAAAAGATTAGACTCTCTCTCTTCTCATCTACGTTTTGCCATCAACAACCCATGCAGCAGTACCCAGAGCTTTTGTTATCAGGTATCAGAGGTGGAACATACATAAAAACATGCTTTTCTGCTCTCACACAGTGCACATATTCACATGTAACATATTGTGTGTTTCTCTTACTCATCTCTTTAACTCACAGTGACTTGTCACGTGCTTATGGATGTCAAACTGAAACTAACACATCAGAACTGTTTGGAATCAGAGAAATGCTTCTCAGGACACACTTAGGTTTCTTTTAATATTACAGTTTCCTTCTTATTAAGCTGTAATGTTGCCATTCTGTTCTTTCTGTTTGGATTTCTCCCTCCCCACCTGAGAGGCATAAATTCCAAAGGAAGGTGCTTTCCTCCCTGCATGGTTATGGGCTCTCACCTCCTCGTGGTTCTTCTTCAGATAAGCCAGCTCCTCCTTCAGGTTCTCGATCTGCATCTCCAGGTCGGCTCTGGCCAGGGTCAGCTCGTCCAGGACCCGGCGCAGGCCGTTGATGTCAGACTCCACGCTCTGGCGCAGGAACAACTCGTTCTCATACCTGCAGTTTAAAAAATGAAAGAAGCACTGGAATCTGATGTACAAGTTTGTATTCAGTAGAGCTATAAAACGATGACATTTTATATTGAATGGAGGAGGAACTTCGGGCTATAAATGCAAACATATACATTGAAAAGAAGCGTAAAGGAGTAAAGATGGTTTTTTTCCCACATCCAACTATGGCATATGGAGTACATGCATTGCCATCTGATTTTATTCTTGAGGAGCATGTGACATTTCACTTTGCAGAACCTAATAATGATTATCAGCATGAATAGAAAAGCTGTTGACCGAAAAGGACAGACAGTTTGCAGTGACCTCTCAGATCAGGTGTGAAGGAAAGCAGAGATCGCCCGGTTCTGCCCAGGACACTATAAACCTGTGGGTACATCACTGCAAGATAAATCGGTTGCGCAAGTGTCTTTATCATCTTTTCAGCAGTTCTGCTGCTGGATAAGCCCCAAATTACTCTTTGTCTTTCCTTTCCAAATGTCAGACTCTTTGAGGGAGAACTGCTGCGACCCAACAGCCATCTCTTCCCGCCTCTCTGTTCCATTTCAGTGGAAATCCCAACCTATTCCTGTCTTCTTTTCCCATGTGACTTCCCGCCTCTCTGTTCCATTTCAGTGGAAATCTCAACCTATTCCTGTCTTCTTTCCCCCTGTGATTTTAGGCTAGTAAAAATAGTTAAAAGCTTCCCTAAAAAACTAAGACACGAACTATAGCTTTTTATGCAAACAGTTCAGTGATCTGGAGACTGTGTTCTGTCAGGGGTATGTTCCAAACTGATCCTTCATCACACGGATTCCGTTTGCCAGGGGGTTTTCATCAGAAGTTATCACGGAAAATACCTATCCATGTTTTTGAAATGTGTCCTTCAGTGACTGAAGAACTTTATTTTCTAGATAAAAAGTACCACTAAACTTCAGAAAACTGTTTTGAGAAGGAGAGACAAGGAGAGAGAAGACAAATGGACTCTGGGTAAACTCACTTCATCCTGAAGTCATCAGCAGCCAGGCGGGCGTTGTCGATCTCCAGGATGACTCGGGAGTTGTCAATAGTCGCTGCGAGGATCTGGCAATGAAAAGACACAGAAAAAGGCTCCTGTGACTCAGGGTGAAATATCAGGGTCCTCAATTCACAGCAGGCAGTGACTGAGGCTGTAAACCAGCAAAGAAGGTAGAAAGAAATGGACCTCAGTTGTGATGTCCCTGGTGAAACCTGCCTTTGGATGGCAATAGCCAGTTCCATGTATTAAGTTGCTCTTTGGTCACACTGTAGTTCTTACAGCTTTTATAGAGAAAATCCAAAAACACTAAGTTTTTTCCCACATGCCATACACAAACCAGAGAGCTGAGATGCCTTTGTGTAACCCAAATTAGAAACAGTGAAAAAATACGTTTGTACAACACCTGATCTTATCTCTAGCTGGGAGAACCATTTTTCAGCCTTTGAGGCCTACCTGTCACATTCTTTACCATTGGATTACTGACTAAATATATTGATAATTCTAAACACGTTTTGCCAGGTTTTGGTAACTTTGAGTGCAATCATTTTAATTTCAACAAACATCACATTTTCAGAATAACATTTTTGGTTTTTAAATTGAGAAAAAGCTACTCTTCTGCTACAATGCTCATAACCACAATATCTTTGGGGTTATGGCATATCATATTTATTTTATAATCATTTTAGCTTATTTTAAAGTGGAACATGCATTTCCACAGTTCTAATGCATTCTTGCAACTCCTTTATGTAGGAATGTCATACCTTGTCTCGGAGATCTTCAATTATCTTGTAGTAATTACTGTAGTCCCGGGCTGGGCTGGTGGGAGCTTGTTTCTGATACCAGTCTCGGATTTTAACTTCTAAATCGGAATTTGCCTCTTCCAGGGCTCGCACCTTGTCCAGGTACGAAGCCAGACGGTCGTTCAGATTCTGCATAGTTATCTTTTCATTTCCAGAGAGGAGGCCATCGCCGCCACCAAAGCCACCACCAACTTCAAAACCTCCACCAAAACCAGAGCCTCCACCGAAGCCACAGGCAGCACCACCACCAAAGCCAGCTCCTCCACCAAAGCCAGCTCCTCCACCAATGCCACAGGCTGCACCACCACCAAAGCCACCGTAGCCTCCTCCATAACCGCTACCAAATCCAGAACACAAGCCACCACCATACCCACCTCCTACAGAGGAGCCAAACCTGGCTGAAGAGATGGAGACACCCCTGCCACCAGAGCCTCCATGGATGCTTGGAGCTCGGCAGGCTCCTCCTGTGCGGATTGAAGAGAGGCGAGAGCTGCTGCTTCCACCACCCCCAAAGCCACCACCGTAGGTAGAAGAAGAGGTGCGCATGAAGGAAGTAGTCATAGTTGCAGCACAAGAAGGTGCCAAGGTCAGTTACTCAGCTCGGTGTGGAAGAGGAAAGCGTGTGCCTTCACTGCCCTGGTGCTTCTTTTATATCCTCAAGACAGGGTGGCAGGAGACAAACCCAACCTGCAGCCCTCCCTCCAAAAATCCTCCTCCCTAGAGGTGAGGCCAATCATGATGACATTCCTCACAAAGGGAGCTGGCTCTGCATCTCAGGGGCTAGGGCTGGGGTTTTCTTTTCTAATTAAACAAAAGGGATGATTCAGATGAGTGTTTTTTCTTCAGGCTATAGTTCTGAAACTTGGAGTTTACTTCTCTGACATTTAAGAATGGAAAAACAAAGTGAGTTCAACCGCACCCACTTACCCATTTGCAGCAATCACCAGGGGATTTTAAGAATATCAACTTTTTCTACAAATGAAGTTTAAGTAAAATTCTCCTTTCATTGAAAAATGTGCAATCATCTCACCATTATTTCTTCTTTTCTATCCATATTTTTTCCCATTTAAAATTCGTAATTGAATTTGATATGTCCTTATTCCCATTCTTTGCTTGGAACTAATATATAGATTTTAGGGTCTGAATTTTCAGTACAAAAAGTGTATCATCATGGCATTGCATGAGGAGCACGTAGCAACCATCAATGTACAAGGAGGAGCGGGCACAGCTAATTTACTGGTGCTTGTGAAATAGTAAAGAAAGATAATACAAGATTGGAATAATTCAATTAAAAGAAGAAATGTGGGAGGACTAAGTTCCTGTTTCTTTTGGAAAATGTAACTTTTAAGTTCCATTTTTAAGATGAAACAGTTCAGATAGCAACTGATGTGTTTAATGCCAATATGCACTATGAAATGAAGTAATTATTGAAAATAAGACCTGAGAAGCACTAAGAAGAGTCATCTCAATCTCTCATTTAAAGTGGGAGGCTGAAACACCACTGTCTTTCAAATCTAATGATTTGTAAGTGAATTTCAAAAGGCAGTAATTCAGTAACACAGCTCTCTCCAATACAGCGTAATGATGGGAAACCAGATTTGGGAGATTTCTAAGGGAGTATTAACTGCTTGTTTACTCTGCTGGGGTGTGTCGCTGGGATAAGGGGGGTGTGGAGAGTGGGGCGTTTGAAGGGAGACCCCCGTTCCCTGCACACTGGGGGGACGTTCTGCAGGGGAGAGCCCCGAGGTGCCCCTGACAAAGGGGAATGGGACAGCAATAACGGGGCACGGGGGCACGTCCTGGCTTAGGAACTGGGGGCTGAGAGCAGGGAGAAAAGCAGGGACACAGTGAACTTGGGAGGAACTTTCTTGGGTCTCTAGTTCAGAACCACCGGAATTATTTCGAAATAACACTTTGAAATAAAGAAGAAAAATGCTATGTTTGCTAACAACGTGATAAGGAGAGTGTTGGTTTTGACAGTTGCTATCAAAGAAGAAAAATGCTATGTTTGCTAACAACATGATAAAGAGAGTGGTGTTTTTAGCACAGTTTTTGGCAGTTGCTATTGACAGAAAATGACCTTAGAATTCAGGCTGGGTGACTGCAGACAGACCGAGGCTCCGAGCAGTTGTTGGAATAAACTGAGGGGTTTTCTGACATTTACAACTGAAACTTCAATGCAGCCTCAGGGAAATGGGCAGCCTTTTTACTCAGCTGGGTACTTGGGATGAAAAAACCACCAATACTCTAGTTGTGATACACGGCTGAGCAGCCTGTTTGGAGAATGTCCCCTCACTCTCCAGGGGATTGTCACAGACGGCGTTTTCCAGCTCTGGAAACTTGTTTGGAGCTGACCCTGGCCCTGTGCCGTGGTTCTGCTTCAGGCAGATTAATGCTGTGCACTGCTTGCCAAACCTGCGTGTCTCCCAGAGTTAGTATCTCAGGAAACAAGTTTAAACAAACTCTCCTAAAGATAAAGAACTTTCTTAAAGACCCCTGTAATGTCAATCTGCTGAGGTGTGTGTGCTGCCAGCGTCTGTTTAACTCCGAGTGAGCCCACAAAAAGCAAGATCAAATTCCATTTAAAACAAAAAAAAACACTTGTAGAAAACACCATAAACTTTAGCAGGAAAGTTTGGGGATTTTTCATTCAGTCTCCTTTCACTCTGTGTTTCTAACATCTCTGGGAGCTCGTTGGTGAAATATACTTTTGCTGTTTTTTCAGGTGCTCAGTGTGTTACTCCAGACTGTTATCAGATCAACACTTGTAACGACCAGGCAGCAGATACAAAGCTGTTCCTTTCCCGTAGAATACTTACCAATTGGAAAAATAAAAATAAATCAAGCAGCCAAGACAGATTATGTCCTATAACATAATTCAGAATACCGTAAGGGTGGACATTCTGAGGCTTTTTCCATTTTCTGTTAAACCAGCCAACTCAGATCCTGAAGGTGTGTTGCCGTGACCAAAAGCTTGTGAACACCCAGTGCAGCCTTTGCTGACCTGGGGCTTGTCCCTGCCTTCATCTTAATTATTTGCTTTTCCATATTAAACAACTGCTTCTAAATAGCTCCTAATATTTTACTAGAAATTGTCAGCAGGAGAATCCCAGGGAAGGTGCTCAGTGAAGCACTGGGAAGTTTGGGGGTTCTCAGCACTGTCCTGGTGCTGCAGAACCTCAGGCTTTGTCACACTTCCCCAGAGCTTTCCTGGAAGACATTCCCTGACATGTCTGTGCTGTGCAAACTCTATTATTACTTCTGTTACGGGATTAATGCAGTTGACACACTTCAGCCTCTCCTCTCGGGAGGACAGAGAGTTCCATTCAAGAAGCAGCTTGTTTTTCATCTCACTCTTTGCTGATAAAACCATCACTCAGACATGACATACCTGTAGAAAACACTTCTGAACCAAACTCTAAAATTATACTCTCTGAGTGATTTTATATTTGACATTTCACCAGAAATCCTTCATTACCCTACAAATATCGGTAAGTTATAAACTCAAATTCAAATTAGGCTATAAAAGCAAGAATTCTAGCCATTTGAAGTCTCTGATGCCCCTGGTTTCTTTAGCCTGGTTTCATTCCATTCTTGGAACTTTTAACCTCTTAAAGACTTTTAAACTGTTTTCCTTTTAAACCACTTCTTTTGTAAACATGCATTTAATTCAGTCTTTGAAAAGAAAAAATGGTCAAAATACACATTTGCAAAGTGTTCTTAGAACTTCTAGTTTGCATTCTTGGAGCACGAGTATTTCTTGTCAGACTCCCATTTGCAGCTCCCCAGCACAAGAAACCTGCACCAGTAATCCCATCCCTGGGACTGGTTTTGTCACAGGAGCTCGCTCTCAGGGAATGGGATTTGTTAAGGTTAAAAACCAGACCTGGAGTTGTTTGTTTCTTTCGCCTGGAGGGATTCCAAGCCTAACTGTTGTAGGGAATAAATCTGGTACAAAGCCTTTATGAGAACGTCAGTGTGTCAGCGCTGGGGAACAGCCTGTGCTGAAGCATTTCATGCACAAGAGCTTTCTCCTCCTCCTTCTCCCCCAAGCAGACAGCATCTAACAGACCAGGGGCTGAAGACCCCCTTCCATCTCCCACACACCAGGGCTTTCCAGGCCACTGCTCCCTTTCCAATCTGAACTTGTTTCCACCAGAGCACCTTAGTCCCTCTGTTCTTCCCATCCATCCTGTCGAGCACCTTAGTCCCTCTGTTCTTCCCATCCTGTGCTCTTCTCTGTGTCTCTTTGCTGATTCTTACTTTCCGTGACTGTTTGTCTTTCCTGTCAGAGTCTTTCCCCGTCAGAGTGAAGGCACTGCCCAACGCTGCCGGGCTGGATTCCCAGAGGTTCAGCTGGGATTGTGTGTGTCAGTAGGTGAGGGCTGCTGGTGACAGCTCTCCTGAGTCACTGCTGAGCCCAAGGCAGGCACCAGCGCGCTGCCGGGCTGGATTCCCAGAGGTTCAGCTGGGATTGTGTGTGTCAGTAGGTGAGGGCTGCTGGTGACAGCTCTCCTGAGTCACTGCCGAGCCCAAGGTGAGCACCAGCGCCTCTTGAATGGAAGAGGATTGCCCAGCCTCGATCCGGGAGGTCCCACACCTTTGGGGTACCCAACTAAAAGTGATCACGTTTAGGATTTCAGCTAGGATAACGTCGTTTCAATGGCATGAGAATGAAGGTGGCTGAAATTGGTGCTAAAGGTTCGTTATCTCTGTATGGTCTGGGAGAGCGAGTGAAGCAATCTCACCAGTGTTTCTCACTCCCCTTTGTTTCTGCAGGAGGTATTTCCAAGCCATTTTAGCAGCTCCATGTTGTGCCCTCACAAAACATCTCCCTGCTCTCACTCGTTCCCAGAATCCCGTAACATCTCAGTGCTCCTGCTCTCCAGAGTGCTCAGCTGGAGTTAGAAACCTGAGTCACCTGCGTTCCCCGCTCTGAGGGCTGAGGATGCTCTTGCCCCCACATTCAGAGCTCCTGCAGCCAGAGAAGGTGGGAGCAGTGGGAGATGGAGCTCGAGCCACCCCCAGACGCTGCCAGCATTAACCTCTCGGGGAGGCTGGCTGTTCCCTGCCTTAAAGCCAGACTTCAGTAACAAATGAAAAGAAGTCAAGATTGCAAGCAGAAGATCATCTTTATTAGAGTAGATACAGCAATTCAGTACATAAAAGAACTAGAAATAATTGAAAAACTAAGCTAATTTGCAAATTAATTACCCCTAAAAGGATTAATCTACCTAAACTTTGTATGGCCAAGAATTTTCTGTGCTTTAAGAGAGTAATTTCCAGCAGTTTAGAGTGATTCATCTTTCAGTTCCTGTGTGTTGTCTGCATTTTCTGGCTGTGAAGGTGATGTTCGGAGGACTCTCAGCGCTATTTTCCATCTGTCAGCTTCTCTCTTTTGTCTGCAATAGTGTGGGGAGAAAGAACAGCAGTTACTGAAGCGTAACACACACGAGACCACTCTGCAGTGGGCACTGAGCTGGGCTTATCTCTCGTCCCTCGCTCTCTTCTCTCACAAGTTTTCTTCTTCATAGCATTGATTTGAATCATACCTCACTTTTACAAGACAGCTGACCTTTAAAAGCTCAAGGCAAGTTTTTCTTGCATGTACATACAGTTCCCCTGAGCTGGCCAGCCTTGAATGGCTTGTATCATTTGGGGGAATGATTAAGCGTTTTGTGCTTTACTTAGCCTTTACTGTAGCGTAGTCTGGGATTTTTTCTGATTTTAACATCTTTTAATGACTGAAATTTGTTAAAATCTAGCCAGAGTCACCATTTGTTGCTTATTAGCAACACAACCCAGGGCAGCAGCCCAGGCTCTACAACAGACACAGCTCCCATCATGTGTGTGAATTTCCTTTTAGAAAATAAAACTTCTTTGACTCCTAAAGGTTTCCTGAAGAGAAAGAATTCTTACCGGTGGTTCCAGAGAGGGATCCAAATATCCTGTAGAACAAAGAGATAACAGTTGAAAGGAGAGGTATCACATCAAATGCTGTGTGAGATGAGGATGTATGAGAACAAATCCTCTACCAGGTGCATTGTGTGTCCGGTGAGGGAAGAGACGGTCCCCTCCTCCTCTCCCTCTCAGCTCAGGAGAGGGAATTGTTGAATTTTGTGAAATACTCCCATCTGGGAGGTCCCCTTATGGCCCCTCTGCAAACAGCTTGTCTGCCTTCCCTTCTCTTCTGGGTATTCTCTTCTACACTGAGTCCTACCAGGTGAGAGCTATTTAGCTGGTAACAGGAAGTTTATGGGAATTTGGTGTTAATCCTTTTATGCTATAAAACCTTACTAACTGCACTGGGTTTCTTAATGCCAACCAGCTAAAGATTAGTTATCGCTGACTGCTGGTTGCATTTCATCTCTTGTACTGCTGCTGAGTTTGCCTTTTTGTTTAGAAACTCTTTGAGGTGCTCACATAACGTACGTGGGATTTGTAACATTTCTAGCTTTCTAGATTTGTTAAAAATCTTAGAACCCATGGAGCATCAGAAGTTGTGTTTGCTGTGATGCTGTGGGAAATGGCACGGTCAGACTCTCTGAGGCTCAGCAACAAGGTTTTCTGGAGGGAGCAGTTACTCACTGGGACTCCTGGCCCTCCAGGAGCTGTCGGTAAGTGGAGATCTCTTGCTCCAGTCGACTCTTGATATCCATGAGGGTCTTGTATTCGCTGTTCTGGCGCTCCATGTCGGCTCGGAGCTCAGCCAGCTGTGCCTCGAGGCTGCTGATCAGGCCCTGCATCTGGGCCAGTTGGGCACTGAAACGTGCCTCCGTGTCTGCCAGGGTGCCCTCCAGCGCGGCTCTCTGCGAGCAGAGGGGGGAACCACAGACAGGTCACTGCTGGATGCAGAACACCTTGCAGGGAGGGGAATATCTACCCATTTCAGGGCAAATTTCACCGTACCATGCTGAGCTGGGACTGAAGTTCTATCTCCAGCCCTTGTAAGGTGCGTCTCAGGTCAGTGACTTCGGACTTGCTGCTCTGCAGTTGCTCAGAATTGACGGCTACTTCACGGTTCAGCTCTTCAGTCTGAAACAGGGAAAACTACGTGAGAAATGTGGGACCTCTAAGTAGAGCTCATACGGCTTTCACAGCACTTTTCTCTGTGGTTTAATAATTTTGTTTCTTTCATGGATTTTTTTTTTGTTTGGTTAGTATTTATATAGTGTGGAGTTTTTCCCACCTTGCTGTGGAACCAGGCCTCAGCATCCTTCCTGTTCTTCTCAGCCATGTGTTCGTATTGGTCTCTCATTTCAGCCAGGATCTTGGTGAGGTCAATGCCTGGAGCAGAGTCCAGCTCAACACTGACTTGGCCGGCTACTTGCCCTCCCAGGGCACTCATTTCCTGTGGCAGAGGAAGACAAAAGAGGGTACAGTCATAAACTGAAAACATTATGAACCTTCTGTTCTTTCTCCCAGGGCTAAGGTCTGACCAACGCCCCTTAAATACTTGCAGGGGGTGTCTTTAGTTTCCCAGTCTACAGAAATCTTTCTTCCCTGTTGGAGAGCTCAGGGCGATGCTGAGAGACTCCATGTTCCCACACAGTTTTTCCAATGCCACTTTCGAACATGATTTTTTACCTCTTCATGGTTTTTCTTCAGATAAGCCAGCTCCTCCTTCAAGCCTTCGATCTGCAGCTCCAGGTCGGTCCTGGCCAGGGTGAGCTCGTCCAGGACCCTGCGCAGGCCGGTGGTGTCGGCCTCCACGCTCATGCGCAGAGCCTGCTCCGTCTCAAACCTTAAAAAACCAACCCAAAACTATTCAGTGTAGCTGATCAAGCCAGCCCACCGTCAAACACATCATGTGCTATGAAAGTATATGGTTTTATAGGAATTATGACATAGCAAATGTCCAGCATTAAACTTTTCTCCACCTGTTTACATGCTATAAAGTTTTCAGTGGCGCAGAAGGGGCTTTCAGCAAATACATAAGGGGCTCAACTGCAGTGACAGGATCAAACTCGTGTTCAGGCAGAGATTTATAGCCATTCCCTTCTTCATTCACAGCCACTGCCCTTTGGCTCAACAAGGGTTTTTGCCTGCTCCAGAGACCTTTCTCCTTTCAGGAATTACTCACTTGGTTTTGAAGTCATCAGCAGCCAGCCTGGCATTGTCGATCTGCAAGACGATCTTCGAGTTGTCGATAGTGGCCTCGAGGATCTACAAACAATGAGAGTTCATGGCTGAGGCTGAAACAAAAGTTATCTTCTTTCCTGATCTGAAGATTAAAAGAGTTCAGATTCTATTTCATCTGTAGCTACACCAAATAAAAGTGTATTTTATTTGGTCTCAGTAGGAAAGTACCAGTGATCTATAGCAAATATGTCACCGTGCTTTTGCCGTGACTGCCCGTTATGGACAGGTCCTTCTCCTCTTGCCTGGCATGTGGAGAGGCTTTTAGGGGGGAGACCCACAGTGAGAGGAAACTCAGTGCTGTCTCGGAGGGGAGGGCTTTGGTGAGCTGGGGGGAGGTGGTGTTTTAGGACTGAGGCAAGAAACCTGTTTCCTGGAGATGCAAAGGAAGCAAAGTCTGCAGAGCCCTCCTGCCAGAATTTGTTCTCGGGGGGAAGTGGGTACAAGGGCTGAATGATTTTAAAATAAATCATGTGTTTGTGTTTCGTAAACATAACATACTGCATTTGTACAGATCTTGACACATTTGTATTTCCTAAATCTGCAGAGCCCTCCTGCCAGAATTTGTTCTTAGGGGGAAGGGGGTACAAGGGCTGGATGATTTTAAAATAAATGATGTGTTTGTTTTTTGTAAACATAACCTACTGCATTTGTACAGACCTTCCTAGAATATCCAGGATAGTGTTTATTGATTCTTTTCATGCGTCATGAAAACCCCTAAAGGAAATTTTGTTTATTTAGAAGTAATGCCTGTTAATTTTTACCTAGAAAGCATGTCTCTTGCCTGCCACTTTTAAAACTCAAAAGGTCATCCACAAAAACAGTTGGAGCAACGTTATCTCTCCCCTAAGGGGAGTAAAAGACAGGAGGGAAGAGAATCCTAAAAGGAGAATATCAAATGGCCTTTACTGGAGCTCAGTGTTTGAAATGAATAGAGAATGTGAATGGGTTGGAGCAAGGGGAAAGTGAACTGTGTGGGAGCGGTCATGAACTCCAAGCTGAACCGTGAAAATGAAACCTCAAGTTTTCTTTCATTTATTTACATAGTTTAATCAGCTGCTACCTCTGTTATCCGGGGTGTGTATCATCCCAGAGTAATCTGTTATCAGGTACCCATGGGCTATTGGGGCAAATCCTGCATTTATAGATGGGATTGATTACTTCATGTCTGCTACTTCCTTTTTCCATAAGCCAAATGCCTCAGCACTCTGCTATCAGTTCCAACTTAAGTAAGAGAAATGTGAAAGAGGAATCACTGTCTGGTGATGAAATCTCGAGCTGCTATCTTCCCATTTAGAAAGTTGTACTTAACCAATTAAAGCAAACATTATCAGTGAATTAAGTTCTAAGGCATCTCAGACGTATTGTTTTGTACAGTCTCTTCGCTAACATTTGAAAAAGTAGATAATTCCATACTGATAAGTTATGTATCTAGCCTGCCCTATCCTTAGATATTCATCTCATCCTCCCCTCCTTTCCACAACCCGCGATGCCTTCTGGGTGCTTTCCTAGGGAAGCGTCTCTGGGTGTTCAAGCTTCCTTCTTAAGTGCCCATTTGAGATGATTTTTAATTAAATATGAACACTTACCTTTTCTCGAAGGTCTTCAATAGTCTTGTAGTAAGGACTGTAGTCCCGAGCTGGGCTTGGCCCTTGTTTTTGATACCAGTCTCGGATTTTGGTTTCAAGGTCAGAGTTTGCCTCTTCCAGCGCGCGCACTTTCTCCAGGTAGGAGGCGAGGCGTTCGTTCAGGCTTTGCATCGTTGCCTTCTCATTGCCCGAGAGGAGGCCGTCGCCGCTCCCCAAACCACCTCCATAACCACCACTGAAGCTGCTGCTGAAGCTGCCTCCATATCCCCCCCCCAGGCCGCAGCCCAGGCCAGAAGAGACGAATCTGGCAGAAGAGACTGACACCCCCCTGCCACCAGAGCCCCCGTGGATGCTCGGAGCCCTCAGGTAGCCCCCACCGAAATGGAGGGAGGAGCCCCCGGGTCCCCCCACCACTGAGGAGGCCGTTTGCCTGAAGCTGTAAGTGGCCATGGTAAGGAGTGCCAAGAACCTTAGCCCAGCTCCCACGGTGTGTGCTCCCCGGGTGAGAGTGTGTTTCATTCCCCCAGCCCAGCTCTTTTATGCCTCTGACAATGGGAGTTGTCTCCAGAATGTGTTATCTGAGACCCATGGAATTTATCAGCCCTAAGCCTTCTGCCAACACAGCGATTCCTCTTATTGGTCAGTTGCTGTGAAACGGGCTGTGTTTCTGCCCCAAACACCTTCACGCACAGGAGAAAGTATTCTTCCTTCCCTCCTTCCCTCCCCCCCGACCGCTGTCTCCTGAAGCAAAAGGTGGGATTCAGAGGAGGTTTCACCCTGCCAAGGGGAGCCCTCACAATCCCAGTTATAGTTCCCTGTGTGGAAACAAAGGGCTGGGAGCACACGGCCCTGCTGCAGCCAAGTCACACGATGACTTTCTTCATGTCATCTCGGGAGAGAATTTTAATAATAGTCACTAAGGTAGTAACTGGTAGACTGATAGCAGAGCTTGAAAGGAGCCCAAATGGTGAACGGTGTGTGTGGAGCTGGACACAACAGGTTCCCACCCCTCTGTTTTCCTTATTTCCCATGAAAAAAAATTCTTCTTTCAGAAGTATCACTTTCACCGCTTCTTTCTTTGCTCCCAGTTCCTTTGGGACTGACAGCAGAAGAGAGGGTATGACCAAACGTGCCTTGTCTGAAAGAGTCTGGTTTTCTAAAGAAACGAGAAACCTTTTCAAGGAACAGTAGCTGCATTTGTAGCACAGAGAAGCATGAAACTGCCCTGAGCACCTGGGGAGTGAAGCAACAACAGGACCAAGTGCCTGGTTGTACATTTAGTCCTTTTGGTGCTTCTGAAGGAGGGGAGTAAACACTGGAAACAGTCACTCACTCTTCTGGGCTCTGAGATTCATGAAAATGTTATTTCTGTTAAGTCCTCTGTTATCCAAGATGCATTTTCAAAAGCAATGTTGCCTCAAGCTCCTCCGTGAGCATCCCTCACATACCCATGGGTACTCACATCTTATTTCTCCATTCTCTTCCTTCCCCTTGCCCCTCGCTCCCTCCAAACCCCGGGACTCCCCAGCAGAGCTGTTTCAAAGACGGGGGGGGATGAAGCTGCCCTCCCAACCTTGGCAGCCTTTGGGGGCAACCAGGCCTGGGCAGAAGTTCTGCCACCCACAAGGGCTTCCACTGAGCTGAACCTGCGGAGCACAAGATGCACTCTGGGATGTTTCAATCAGAAATTTCTCTAAAACCAACATCAACAATTTCAGATAAGCTAAATGAACCGTGTGCTCTGTGTGAGGGCCTGTCTAGTCTTTCTATACCCATAAAAATGCGTTGGGTAATTTAGACCACGGATTAGTGCTGTACTTGCTGTGAGCAGAAGGAAATGTCAAACTGCAGGGCAAATACGGGGAGGGTGAAAGAACAAACACACAAGCTGGGAGCTGGCCAGGACACCCGCATTACCAGCCCCGTTGGGCCGTGTCTGGGGATGGGACTGGATCAGAAAGAGGGATTCTGCAGTGAGTCAGGCACAGAAGGTATCACTTCATACACACCAGGTGGGTACGTGCCCTCCCTGCCCGGGATGCTGTAGCCCAGGGGCAGCACCGCTGAGTTCTTTGCTGTCTGTAGACGGCATCCTGGCTTGTATTAGAAATAGTGTGACCAGCAGAAGTAGGGAGGTGATTGTGCCCCTGTACTCAGCACTGGGGAGGCCACACCTCGAGTGTTGTGTCCAGTTTTGGGCACCTCAATCCAAGAGAGATCTCGAGGTGCTGGAGCGAGTGCAGAGGAGGGCAACGAAACTGGTGAAGGGCCTGGAAGACAAATCATATGAAGAGCGGCTGAAGGAGCTGGGACTGTTTAGTGTGAGGAAGAGGAGGCTGAGGGGAGACCTCATCATTCTCTACAACTACTTGAAAGGACACTGTAGAGAGGTTGGTGCTGGTCTCTTCTCACAGGTAATTAGTGACAGAACGAGAGGGAACGGCTTCAAGCTCCAACAGGGGAGGTTTAGATTGAACATTAGGAAGGAATTTTTCACCCAAAGAGTGGTCGGGCATTGGAACAGGCTGCCCAGGGAGGGGGTGGAGTCCCCATCCCTGGCTGTGTTTAAGGGCCGTTTAGATGCAGTGCTGAGGGACATGGTGTAGGGGAGGACTTTGTAGAGTAGGGGAGATGGTTGGACTCGATGATCCCAAGGGTCTCTTCCAACCTCAATGATTCTATGATTCTCTGATTCTATGCTGCGCACACACAGCTCCCCAGTTGGCCCAGTAAAACTGCACAGCCCTTCAGAGACAGGGAGGACACTGCTGGCTGCCAGGGACGCTGGTCATTCCTTCCCCACACCTGAAATGTCCCATTCAGGTCTGGGCAGGAGAAACCTGCCTGGCCGGTTACTGCTCCAGGCCCTATCAATAGGGGAACCGAGCACAGGGAGTGACAGGCTGCCAGCAGAGAAAAAGAAAGCTACAGAAGAACAGTTCTTAAAGTCCATAGTTTGAGCATAAAGAACAAATCAATGTGCTTTTCTTCACTGATCAGAAATGCAAGAAGCAAGAAATGCAAGATCAGAAATGCAAGAAGCTTAAAGGAGAGCAAATACCAGCGTATTCTGATTTGTCTCTGGCTGCAAGGAACATCCTTCCCTCTGAGTACCCCTTTGTCATCCCCTGGAGTCCCATGTCAGGTCCTCAAAAGCTCTCTGGCTGCAAGGAACATCCTTCCCTCTGGGTACCCCTTTGTCATCCCCTGGACTCCCATGTCACGTCCTCAAAAGCAGTGTATTTTGGGGTTTTGCAAAATAAAGCACACATTTATGATGCTGCATAATATTTTATGATGCAGTTCATGAAAATTGGGGTCTGGAAAGCCTCTGCATTCCCTCTGAACCCCCTGGAGTAAAAGCAGCAAACGTCATCTGTTACACTGTAAGAATATTGATAATGCAGTGGCAGCAGGTTGGGTTTGCCCCAAGAACGAGCTGCAGCTCCTCGTGGCAGCTCGGGAGCATGTCTGAAAGTGTCAGGAGAGGAAAAGCTTGGGAAACACTGTCAAATGAAGTAACTATTTACTCTGATTTATACCACTGAATATATCATAAGCTTCTAGTAGCAAACCAGTCCCTCCTGCAGCATTTCTATTAAAACTGCATTCTAAGTTTCCAGAAAGGTTTGGATTTGCTTTTACCTTTGCATCTCTCTTTTACCTCAATGGCTGCATGAGTTTGGTTTTGTTGGGACTCCCCTCAGGTGATAACATGTACTTAAATGCTCGGAAAAGCCTTTAGTGTGCCCAGGTATTTGCTCAAGAAAGAATGTGCTTTTATCACTCTGCATAGCTCTTTTCTACTCCCACCACAATAAACTTCATTTATTGTAGGGTCAGCTTTTCCCTAAAGCAAATGCAAGGAATGGTCAGCAAAGGGAATTTCCTTTATCTGCAGCTTATCTGAGGGTGAGGGAGACACGTTTGTTAAAGTGAAGTCGTCCAGGAGACGTGGAAAAGCGCCCGAGCTCCTGCCTGGGACCTTGTTCTGCTTCACCTGTACCTGCTCTGCTTTACTGGTCACTGCTGCTTTGTAAAATTGTTCAGATTGTTTCATAGTATTTTTATTAATGGTCCTGTAAACCATTGTTTTCTGCCCCTGAGTGCCACCGACACGTACCTCACTCTTTTCACACCCTGCTGTGTTTGCTCCAGGGATTGTTAATGCAGTTGCAATTAAGTGAACTCTGTGAACATTTTAACTTACATCATTGGTGTCTGCAATTCCACAGATGCTTCTATGGACAAATGAGGAACGTCAGGTTATTTTTCTGAATTTACCTTGCAAACCTTTGAGGGTTTGTCCCTTTTGATAAGTCTTCCTTCCTACTTCTGCTTCCAGCAGTGAAAATGTGCTTCTTGACTCTTTTGTACCACATTTTCAGTCTTCACCTCAAGCAGTGAAAATGTGCTTCTTGACTCTTTTGCACCACAATTTTCGGTCTTCACTTCTTCTCTTGCTCATTAAAACCTTGGCCACCCCACTCTACTGATCATGACATATGCCCTTTGAAAATCACATATGCCCTTTGAAATCACAACTTGGTGTGTTTTCCTCTCCAATTGAAGGTCACAGGCGTGAAACATTAGAAGCTCTTTAAGTCAAGCACAAAATTTTCTATTTTTTCTTTAAACTTCCTTGTGGGAGGAACCAATGACAACAGGAGCCGATCTGGTTCTGAAATGCCTGTTGAATAGCTGCCCAAGAGACAATTCTTAGCTTTCTTGCCTCTATATCCCATCATTAATCTTTCTTTTTTTATTCTCACAAACCTTGCATTGACACATACTTACTGAATGTGCCAGCAGATTGAGAGACAAGAATGTTTCCGTGCAGGAGAGGCAGGTCCCAGCACATGCACTCCCAGCTGGTCCCACTGCGAGGGGGAGATCCCAGCACAGCGCTGCTCCCCCCTCACTTTCACAAAATTACTGCTTTTCCAACGTAGAAGGAATGGGATTTGGTGGCAACAAATGGACGTGGCTGCCCCCATTTCTGCATTGAAGGAGATGAGAAATAAGCTCATGTAAGGGTTCAGTTTTAAAAGAAATTACGGGAGTAGATGCAGAACAACTCATTTTTATCCAGGGGTCTAGTTCTTTCATGGCAGAAAAGAAACGATGATTCAATGATTTGAGATGAACTTGAAAGACACGGATTCCTGTCCAGCTACAGGCTTCTTCAGTGATGTCGGGACATAGAATTTAATTTCTCAAAGTTCGTCATTGTGTGATATTTGAATAGGCTAGTATGAGGAAAATAGATGAAAGATCATAAACTCAAGCACTTAAATAACTGGCAGCAGTGTAAACACTCAGCAAATACTTGAAACTGGATGTGGAGGGTACTTTTGGAAGTACCTCGTTATTGACTCTGTTTCCCTAGAACTCTTGACTTCTCTATCAGTCCAGAACTATAATGATAAGGCTCGTCAGGGAGTAAAGTACCCAAGATTGGAAAATAAAATAGATTTTCTTGTAGCATGGTTAAAAATTGTGTGGGAAGAACGGATCAGTTCAGACACCAAGCCCTGATGAGTGAAAGACAAGTCACTGGAGATATTTTTACACTTCCTT